CCGCAGCCCAGGGGAATCTCTTCATGTAGCTCCTCAGCTCGCCGACGTACCGATCCAGAACGTTTATGCAGCTCTGCACGCCCGAGTCCTCGTCTGCAGACGCAGCAGAGCAGCGTCAACTCGCACACCTGTATTAATGCTCTGTGTGTGTGTGTGTGTTCTCTTACGGTGTGTGTTGGACAGCACGGAGCGGATCTGCGTGTTCACGAAGCTCAGGGTGATGTTGAGCAGCTGCTCGGAGAACTGTCGGCTCTGAGCTTCGCTGTTCGAGTCTCTGACGGCCGAACACAGCAGGTCTAAGGCGGGACACAGCTCCTGCACTCCTGCACACATGACATCACTCTTTGTTTGTTTGCACACAGGGCAGGATTCTCTCTGACAATAAATGAAATCATCTTTTAAAATCATGTGAGTGCCAATCTGCAAAAAGATAAGAAATCAGGAAGGGGACAGATATTTGTATTTCAACAACGCTGAAAACTCTTTCCTGAACTCGTTTCAGGGAAAGTTGTTTTGGAAGATTTGCATTCAACGGCATCCACGTGCATCTGCGAGCAGTTTGCACGCTTCTCTGCCTGCGATCTAAAACGTGCGCTCGTAACGCGGCGTGCACGTACTGTCTGTGAGGCTCAGCGCGGAGGCGGCGGGCTGATCGGCAGAGCTGAACGCAGCCGCCGGAGAGTTCAGGACGTTTTCTTTGCTCTTCAGGTAGAAATCGACCGTGTCCAGCTGACGGTTCTTCAGTCCAGTCTGTGCAACAACAACAAAGAACAAACTGTTTGATGCAAATGTCACGAACAGTGGAAACAAAGTAGAATTTGTTTTTACTTTTCTTTATAAATAGATAAGAGTTTTCGGTTTCACAGAACCATCAAAGATGGTTTGCTACCTGCAGGGCGTGGATGGGGATGGAGCAGCGCCCCCAGCTGTTCAGGTGGCAGACTGCGTCCACTGTCGCCGCGCTGCCGAACAACATCAACCGGCTGAGCAAGTCCTGCTGCGACACGGAGAACAGGACCTGGAACACGCCAGCCTCTGACACACACACACACACACAGGATGTGAGGTCACTGAAATGGAGGCGGGGCTTGCTGGAAACACTGAAACAGCATCACTGCTCACTCTCAGAGAAACACGAGCTGTCAGGTGATCGCGCCGCTTTGACACAAACTGCAAGTTTTTAAAATTACGTGGACAAAAAAAACCAAGTTGGATTCATTTGTGCAGAGTAACCACGTGAACCTTCGGCGCCCTGTCGGGCTGCTGAGGTCATCGCAGCATCAGTGACCTGGAGCACGGCGACTTACTCTTCAGCAGCAGCCGATGCTGCCGCTCTCCACAGCGCTGAACCGGCGCCGCCTCGCCCGCCGCCTGGTGGTATCTCACGTTCCCGTACTCCATATCCCACAATGCAACTGTGGTCTGTTGGTTTCCCGGGCGGACGAAGGTCAGCAGAGCGGAGAACTCAGAGACGGTGAGCTGAGATGAAGCGGACGATTCGGGGACGGCGAAAGCGACGGTCATCCCCCCCGGAGGCACTCTGCTGTGGGACGAGGAGGGAGCCAGGTGGGGGTCCAGGTGGGGGAGGGAGGAGAACCATGAGGAGGTCCTGGGAGGCTGAGATGAAGCGAAGCAGGAGGAGGAAGGAGCAGTGGCCTGTTTTGCTCTGCTGTACATGGAGTTGAGACGAGCCTCCCAGGAGCTGGAGTCGAGGTCAGAGGTGAAAGGTCAGAGGTGAAAGGTCAGAGGTGAAAGGTCAGAGGTGGACCTTTCTCTCTTCTTAAAATAAACGATGCTCCGCAGCTTACCGGTCGGTGCTGAAGGTCGCTCCCAGGGCCGAGATGCTGAAGCTGGAGCTCGACAGGCTGTCCTGGTCTCTGGGGTGCTGCGGCTGAAGAGGGGGGCGTGACCGAGGTGCGGCGCACAGCAGGTGGTCCGGAAACATCCTGAAAGACAGATCATGACTCTGAATTTGCTCTGCAGTGCAGAGCGGGATTAGCTCACAGACGAGTCAGCGCCATTGGATTGATGCAGTTAATCAGTTTAATGTTCCTCCAGCTGAGCCGCGAACCTCACACAGGTTTCCCGCCGCAGACGAATCCACGCCGCCCTCGCCGTTTCTGCTTCTGTCACCATTCTGAGAATCTTTTCAGCACTTTATGGCTTTAATGTGACGCTTTTCACCTGAATCACCATAAACAGACACTGCTGCGCTTTCTACTCATCAAGATGTCTTCTAAGTCATTGCACTGACTTTATACCTGAAGTAGTGGTTGAGGTCGACGGCGATGGCGGCGTGGGACTGAGTGACGGCCACGGCTGTGCTCAGATCAGCCGACACCTGGAGGA